CTAGGCCTGTGTGAGCTCCTGGGATTTTCCTTCTAATGCTTAAGATAGATTTTTTTCTGGCCTCAGGCTTTCATGTATTCACTCTTAGCCAGCTGAAGACTGGAGGGGACTCTGCAGATCTCCAGTTCTCTGTGTGTGGCTCATAACTCTCCTGTACCCTGCCCTGCAAACTCAAGCTCCCTTGGCCTTCTTGGACTACCCATTGACTCTTCAACTCTGGGAGTTAGCCAAAAGTCCCTTCATCCCTGAGTTGAAACCTAGAAACTTTCTCCAGGCTATATTCTGGGGCAGTCATTGGGCTCACCTTGTTTACTTTCTCTCTCTCAGGTATTACTGTTTTTTATTGCCAAATGTTACATGTCTGAAAGCCCTTGTTTCATATATGTACATACATTTTTGTTTCTTTCAATTGTTTTAGGTTAGGAATAAATCTGGTTGGTCTTTGTTACAACATCTTGTCTGGAAGTGGAAGTCCCTATAGATTTTTATCATTTTAAATACAAAAAAGTCTGAGGCTCAGAAATATTTGGAAATTTTGTCAAGATCATTTTGCTAGTAGGTAGCGGAGAGAAAATTCAAACTTGGGCTTCTAACTTCTAAATAAATGTTCTCTCCATTACACTATACTGCTTCTATCAGAGGGAATTAACTACAAATTTCCTTTTAAATAAAAAATGATGAACTTTAGTTTTTTCTAGAAGAAACTGATGAATCAAATTTGAACCAAAGGTTTTGGAGTTATCTCATTATGTTATGAAAAATTGGGGGGGGGGTCTGATACCTTTTGCATTTTGAATGGAGTCACATTTTCGTCCCATTTTGGCATTTCTGTTGTGGTTCTGATTGTGGAGAATATAATGTTGGGAAACTTTGCTCATTTTAATGATCTGATACTGATAAGCTTTCTACTGGAAAGTGCCCATCTGGCTCAAACTTCAGCTTCTGCATTTTCTTAGGACTTAGGATGTGACTTCTTTGCAAATTTACTGGAATTAGTTTTACAAAAGAGAGAAAAATATTGCTAAACTACATAAACATGGTGAAATGAGAGATGTGGAAAAGTATGTGTATAAATTCTCATGGTTCATTTTTATTACTTTCACTACGCAATTCCATTTAACACTTTCTGAAATAGCAATAAATTTTTGAATGATGAAACATATGGCATTTTGAGTATGCCAAGTGAGAGATATTATTTAAGTAGTGAATGTTCACAAAAACGTGTAGCATTATATTGTCAGGAGGCTCTCTGTTTAATGAGAAAGGAGCACTTATCCCTTCACAAATACTTGGGTTATAAATATCTACTACTATATGTATGTATCTATAAACACAGATAATCTGTGTTTGTCACAAGCAATGTATTTGATAATAAAACATTATGCAAATAATGCTGTGTCACATACAACTTTTTAAAAATGTGTGAGAGGCTGATTTTTTACAGCAACAGAAAAAGCTAAACTCTAGGAGATGATTCCTATATCTTTATATCTTGATTGAAAATATATATGCGTATATCACATTACATATAACTTTACTGATTAACTAAGTAATTTTTAATATTACATAGAAGTGAGGTTTTGATTCTTGTTTCTTTTATTATTTGTTTATTAATATTTATACTTTCCCTAGAAACCTTCTACAGCGGCACCCAGCCTCAGGGATCTTTCTTGCACACCAATATGTTGAATTTCTCTCATCCCTAAAATGAGTGAGTTGACCTCTCAAACCCCTTCAGCACTAGGATAAAACATGGTAGATGACGATGCTAAGAGTTCCCTATTATAGAATATCATTATCCCTCTGAGTCCACATTAGAACACTGCAAGGCAATTGTCTCTTCCATTATTTCCATGAGGAAAAATAGGTAATGTGCCTAAAATCTAAAAGGTGCTGAACACGTGATTAAACTTGAGGGTCTGAATTAAATAGTCTATATTCTTTTTCTCCACCTTTGGTTTTCCAACATTTTTGCCAAAACTACATTTTAAAAATAATATTCTGTGAATAATCTCTATTTTAAGACAGATAAGGTACTATTTATTAGTATAGATACTTTTATAAATCCACTATAACAATATTTACTTATGAGGTTAATAAATAGACAACTTTGTTATATGTGAAAATTTGAAATTTAAGCTTATAGATAACAGTTTCAGCCTTTTTAATGACCTCTACTTCCAGTTTATTTCTATACTGTGTTGGATTTGCAGTGATGAAAAATCCCTTATTTATAAAGATCTGTCATTTCATAAGAAAACAGCTCTTTTTAAACAGTACACCTCATAACCTTAAGATGCCCTTAAATTAAACTGATCCAGAGACATTAAATATTATTAGCAACTTTTGTTTGTATAATGGCCACTTAAAGGATCTAATAACCACTCACATTTCTTATGTGAAATATCTCAGATAGGATGCTATTTGTAATTCCACATGTGTTACATAACATGACGATTACATTACACGTGTGTTTTCAATAGTCCAAGAGCACAGCAGAGACAGGAGACCATTGCTTGGCCTCACATTATGTAAGTTGTGACAAATAACGCGCTAGGTGTATATAACTGCACAATTTAGTTCCGTCACAGAGTTTTGACTAGAAAAAATGGTTAGACATAACTAATGTGAGCTCTCCGTACATGTTCATTATTGCGAATAGTGTCAATTATATTCTTGCTTTTTTTGAAAATGATTACATCATATAGGCTTATATTGGCTTGCCACTAGAAATAAATATATATTCAAATGAATGTGTATTTCGAGATTACTAAATTAGATTTGATTTTATTCTCATATTTCATGATACAATTTTGTTATACTTCTCTTTTAAATCATTTCTTCCTGAATAAATGCAATTAGAAGAGACCCATATACCTCATCCTTATTTCAATTTTGTTTTGCTCTTAATTTGCACTCTTCTTTACTCTCTTGAGATGAACATAATTTCTGGTACTTAACTTTGTGATTTTCACCTCTTTCTTCATTCTCTCATTAGACTTTATATTTGCTTTCCCTAGTTTCTTCAACTTTTGATATATTTCAGCCTTTTAAATGAGGAGTCATTGAGGACTTGTCTTGTATAGAAGCACAGATTTCTCATTATTCAATGAGAAAATCCTTATGACAGTAATTTCTCACACACATAGAACTAAAACTAATTATGGTATGTTCCTTAAAGAAATGGTCAAAGGGATGGGAAGGTCGGGTTGAAATCATATTCCTTCAGACTGATAAAGGGTTTTCATTAGAGTCCCTCGTTTACACATGTTGTCTTCGGTGTTTCTCGCTGTTCCACTGCTGATTCTTATGCTATTCTTAATATTAGTGTATCACCAAGTATATTTCAGTCATGGAGAGAAAAAAATGGGTTTGCTATATCAAGGACCTTAAAATCACACTGACCTGTATGACAGAAGACAGGTACTGATACTTATTTAAAATCATGTTTATCTAAGTATGCAAATAACTTTTAGGCTGGATGACATGGATGGTAAAGAGCAAGTGGCAACATATTTAATGACAATAAAATATATGGCTATTATGAATTGTGTGGTATTTCAAAGCATCTTTTAACTTCTATTATTAGGAAGTACAGCCAAAAGTTTTGAAATTACAGAGTTCAAAATTCAAAGACATGAATACTTGAATGCTAGCTCAAGAAAATACAATGGGATTTAAGGATGTGAAATGTTTATGAAAACCAAGTGAAAGCTGTAGAGGAGCTATGGTATCAATGTAGATTTTCTATGTCAAAAATTAAAAATGGAACTTTTAATAGGCTTTTGCAGTGTAAGATGAAATTCCCATAGTTGGGACTTTTATTTTGAACAGTGTTTTCTTTTTTTAATTCTAGCAGACCATAAATGTCTTAACAACAAGAATATTACTAGAACATTTTTAAAGAAGTCATTGTTACTAGTGTGGTTCTTATGCCAATCTGTAATGAGACTATAACTCAAAGTTTGTTAAGAAGACAAACTTACCATTTTCTAAATTTCAGATACATGATGGCAATATTATGAAACCAGTCCCAAGAAACACACAGTTATCTTCTGGCTCTAGAATTACTCCTGGCTTATTCATACTTTCTGGACTAAAGAATTAATATGGACTATCTTAAAAAATAAAATATTTTTTCATATTTATTCTTTACTTCCTTATCTAAAATCAAGTTTTTGCTATCTCCACAACTTTGATTTACCACAAATAATGCTCAAAGACTCAAAATATTCTCAAAACTTAAAATAGTTTAAAACCTGTATCACAATAGCAAATAAAAAAATTATTATTCAATAATGTATATACATTATTTAATAAACTCTATCATTAAAGATACAGATGCAACTGTATTTTTAACCTTATAAATAGACAACTGGAATTATTGTGTGGTTCATAAAATCAGCTGCTACACTATTCCTCATCAGCAAAGATAAAATATTTTATCTAATTGATAATATTTATATCACTGTGGAATAAAAACTAAATATAATAACATTACAGAATGCAGAGCACATAATTGCAACAATAAGATAAATATTTATTTCAAATTAATTGTAAACTCTAGACAATATGGGGTAATTCATTAAATTTTTAACACTAAATTATTACACTAAAAATATTTCAAGTTCATTTTTGCTAAACTTTTGTTCTTCTCTTAGCTATTTTGCCTTTAGAAAATACAATTTGCTTACCTTGGATGGTGATTCTGAGGGATGGGGGTTCGAACATTTTGTGTGGCACTCCTAACAAACCTATGCTATCTAGATTAGTACATATTATCACCTCTATTATTTCTGACTTTAAATATATGAATATAATTCTTTCATATGACATGCTATATATAACATGATAAAATATATCATAATGTAATATATTATAATATAATAAGAACAGACATTTACATATAAATACATATGTTTAAGTAGAAACAAAATAGTTTCAGAACAAATATTAATATTATTGGCTTAGTCAGAAACAGTAGACAAAAATGATCCTACCTGATGAATCAAAATTCACTTCATTGCCAGGACTTGGACCTATATCGATGGACACAATTGGTAACAGCTTCCGAAAGTCCCATAGCTTTGTAACCCCACGGGCATCACAGGATGCTATCATGTGACCCTTCAAAATATAAGATAAACAAAAATAAAATGTGTATATATATATACACACACACACTACATATATACAAATACATATAGTAACCTATAGACAAAAGATGTCACAATTTTATTACAGTTGTAAGATTACATTCCTCTAAAGAAAGAAGTAGTTGTTAATAACTTTATTTTGGACATTATTTAAATTATTTAAAATGATATTCTTAATATATGAAATCCTACACTAAATTTTTGGAGTTAACATTTCAGACAAGCATTTTCATTTTAACTACATTAGAAAACGTAACAAAACAATAACATGTGCACTCATAATTTGCCTATACACATATCACATGTCACGCATATGATATATGTGACACATAAAATCTGTGAATGTGGGAAAATTATATCATATGCATATCTAAGCTTTTATGCTTGCAATTAGTTAGCATTGATAATTTATACCTCAAATAGAGAAAAAACGAAAAGAGGTAGGAAGAAAAATGGACACAGTGAGAGAAGAATATCGTCATAGCAGGTAGAATGACTGGGACCAGATGAAATTGATGGCAATAAAATGGTATTGTAGTCTGTTAGTCAAAATTCTCAGAAAACATAGTTGGGCTTGCTTTGGTAACAGGTAGTGGAACAAGGAAGAAGGTAATTGAATAAAAGGGAAGGAAAACAGAAGGAAAGGCGAATGGATTCAAGTGACATATCAATGGAAGGTGGGGAGAGATATTTTTGCAGCAGAGTAGCAGCCGCCCAGGCTCATCAGTTCGGAGCCCAGGGTCTGTCTACATGCCTCCTGCTGGTCTCTCAGGAAATGTTTATTGAGCATCTACTTTATGACAGAAATTGGACATATGCTGGTGAATAAGAGGGGTTTCTGCTCCCCAGCAACTCATAATCTTCACTCATTCTCATCATTCTGGTCATTTAATTTCTTTGTCCACTCAAAAATTGAATGAGTATTGGCCACATTAAAATCATCAATTATGTTTATAAAATATCAATATACTGTTTCCCATTTGATGTACACTTTCCTTTTCAGCTGCAGTTCAAATTTTTAAATGTCAATTTAAAAACCATCCTCTCATTTTCTCCATACATTATTTACAATGTTAACATTAACAACTTAATTATCATATAATTTTCCTTATCATTTTGAACTAGCTCACATATTTTCTCACTCCTTGATTTCTATTCTTTCTGTAAAAAAGCACATCCCATAGTATAGTTCAAGTGGACCCATTGTTTTTCTCTAAACACACCAGTAATGCAATGAATGCAATTAGTTTTAAAATTTTATAACTGTTGTCACTGGCATAGTAATACAACAGCCTTGTCCCCAATCTAATAAATGAGATGCTTAATCTTTTTTATGACTTAAAAGGAACATGGAGAACTTGGAATGTCCTCAAATATGTAAACATGTATTATAAGAATTGTGAGGAATCAGTGAATTTCATTTCAGAAAAGGAAAGAACAGTTCTCAGTATCAGCCGGGAATATTAATGTTAGAAATTAGAAAGAATTCTTTCCAAATATAAGGGCTTTCAATGATCTGATAGAGGTCACAGAATGGAAATTTTTTTCAATTTTGGGAATAGGGTAGGTAAGTTTTCATCAGAATTTAATCTGCATGCACCTCTTGCCATAGGCAGGTGGATGAACTTGATGTTCTTTTGTTGTCTGGAGTCTATGAATTAAAGACAATCTCAAAGTATAGTTTATCCCACTGAATATTAACATTTGCGGGAGTATACTTAAAATAAAAAATAGTTTAATCACTGTTATTGTGTGAAAATGAGTAGGTAAATAGTTTTAATATTTTTACATTTAATACTAAAAACTTTTATTGCTGTCAAATGATCAAGCTCAATAGTTTGATAATATGAAAGTGAGTCAATATTTATGAAATGCTTTTAATGAGCCAGGTACTGTGCTAAATGCTTCATTAATAAACTAGTACACAGCAACTTTAAGCAATTTTGAATAACGAACATCATTTAGCTAGGTTTTTTTTTTTTTTTACATTGCCTTAGAAACTTAAAAGCCATGACAACGTATGCATTATGGTAAAATGAATATGAATTTTTTTTTTTTTTTTTTTTTTTTTGAGATGGAGTCTCGCTCTGTCGCTCAGGCTGGAGTGCAGTGATGTGATCTCGGCTCAGGGCAAGCTCCGCCTCCCGGGTTCACTCCATTCTCCCGCCTCAACCTCCCGAGTAGCTGGGACTACAGGCGCCCGCCACCACATCCCGCTAATTTTTTGTATTTTTAGTAGAGAAGGGGTTTCACCGTGTTAGCCAGGATGGTCTCAATCTCCTGACCTCGTGATCTGCCCGCCTCGGCCTCCCAAAGTGCTGAGATTACAGGCGTGAGCCACCGCGCCCGGCCAAATATAATATTTTAAGTAACAGAAATAAGTTTGCGTTTAGATTTGATAACTGAAAGATACTTGGTAATGGAAGAACAGCTTAGCTATATATCCAGTTAGCTAGTGAGGCAGATGTAGTGTCTATTACAGTGTTTGGAGCATAGTAGAGCTCAACAAAATATTTGTTAAGCTGATAGATAAGTAATGCTTCCTCAAAGCTTACTTAAAAGTTTTATTTTGGTCCAAGTCCTTCCAAAGCAGTCTTGAGGTGAATATTAATTCTAACCCTGATGGGTCAGAATCACTTACAAGACAGAAAGCAATGGAAGAGGCAGAGAATCTAGAACCAATACTTAGAATATTCTAATGCCCTGTATCCTTCTTCTTTCTCTCATTTCAGGAAAATTGGAGGGCCATCTGCCAATCTCCTTCCTCGAGACAGAAGAAACTAGAATGTTGTTAATCCAAACTGTGTAGTTTGAGTTTTGAGGGACATGGAGATGGAGAGATGTGGGAAGGAGATTAGTTGACAACCTGGGGAAAAATCATTTTATCTACAATTTATGACAGTCAGGCTATAGTTAGGCATTTAACCTAAATTAAGAAATATTTCAAAGAAAATGTTTTTAAAGACAGGTGAGATTTCATGACAATCTTAATGAGAGTCAAGGTTCAAGAGGTTTGGAAATCTCTAAAATGCAATTCTGGTTACCATTGGTAGTAGTACTGCTGATCTTGAGGATGGGAAGGTACTGAAGGTGGATGTGCAGAAAGCTCTCAAAGAAGTTCAGATTGAGATCTATGATTGTTTTTCTAAAACTGAATCTCCAGCACCCAGTATAGTTCTTACTACATGTTAGGCATTTGGTCTTTGAATAAACAATTGAATGAATAAATGAATAAATACAAAGGGAATGAAGAGTAATCAACGTTGACTCTATGTGATTTAAAATAATTTGTTTCAAAAATACACAAATATTAACTGAGCCGAAGCTAAAAAAAATGCTTTGTGGTCATAAGACTCAAATGAATTTAATTATGCCAGTAGAATTTAGCCAAGTGGACAAAGGGTACAGCTGAGATGAAAATGAATAGTCATGACTCCTGATTGCCTTTGTTAAGCCTCCCGCCACCAAATTAAAGATCCTATAATGAGAAAACCATATAGACATGAAGTTAATAATAAATTAGAGAGTAGAACATAAGATCAACCTAGCTTCATCTAGGCCGCTGAGAATTTATTAGAGAAAAATTTAGCAATAGGTATCAAGGATCACAAAAATGTCCAAACTTCTGGAACTTTTAATATTACTTCTGAACTTTACTATAAATTAAAGAAAATGTATTATTAAAAAAACTAATGTAGCATTATTTATAAATAAAAATGGAAACAAGTGAAATTTGCAATAATAATCTAATACGGAAGAAGAAAACCTTGGTCTGTGGTGGATTCAGAAAACTGCTTGAGGCAACTTTTATGCAAATTTGTTATCAACAGCTGCAGAGAGACAAGCAGACTAAACTACTACCTCTCTGCACAGAGGTTCCAAACATAGTTATGTGCAGTAAAACAGAAAGAAAAGGAAAAAACTGGAATGTTAATGAGGTCATTAATAATTTAAATAAATAATTAAAATACTATTTTATAAAACAATAGTATTCCTTAATATAAACATATCTTATGGCTTTGTATAATTTTTTAAACAAATGTTTCAAACTTGGGCATTATCCTAACTTTTAGGATTATGGGGCTAGTGCTCAGATAGGTTAAGAAATATTATATAGTAATATAATTTTTTATATGAAAGTCCCTATGTCTTTATATTGCATCTCTAAAAGAACTAGGATATTAACCTATTTTGGAAGACTCAGGTCCAATTTGATTGTAGTTTGAACCTTCATCCTGATGAGTCAGGTAAGTAGTTTGTTAGTTCAACTTGCTGGGTTTTATATACATATATGTTATATATATAAATACCTTTTTCTTTTGAAAAGTCTGAACAATACTGAACAATTTACTGAACAATAATTTAGGCCCAGGACATTGTTTCCTTTTTTTAAGGGTTCCTCAAGGTTGAACAATAGAATATATAAAATATTATCTTTTCAAAGAGTTATACTGCATACCAGAAAAATTAAATGAATGATTTTACATCAACTATATATACATGAGAATGTTGTAAACACTAAGTGAAGGAACTTTGTTTATTTAGCAGTACATTCTAGTGACCTAGAATAAAATATAGTTCATGTTCAATAGATAATTGTAGAATGAATAAATGAATACCTTAGATAAAAAATTATAAAGCCATTAAAATAACAATTATAGAACCAAAGTAAAACATGGAAAAATTTATGTCAAACTCTGGTTACATTGATTAAAAGTATATAATATACATGTACAATGATTAAATGGGGAGCAACATCTATCATTTATAAAAACTTTTGTGTATTTTTATAATCATTTAATGCTTTAAATGTGAACAATAAGTACAAATAAACTCCTCAAACATAAGAGTTATATATTAATCAAATATCATTGCCAAACATGTTACTATTGATTTCATGAGCTCTTAATTCATTTTATTTTACTTTACTTTTAAATCTTATTTTTGAGATAGGGTCTTGTTCTGTTGCCC